TGTCTAACGCCTATCAAACGCTATAGAGTGTGTTTGGCAAGAGTTGGAAATAAAGTCAAGTGTGAACGAGCCCTTACTGGCCATTTTTTTATTCTGTTGCTTTATCTTACACTTTTTTGCCGTAGTCGATTATGACTTGGCCTGTAATCTGTTAGAAATTGTGTATATAGGTCTACAGAGCAGACAGTGCCCAGTCCACATGTGCTTTTCTGCTTCACCGCAACAAGGAAACAGGAAACTTTATTCAGAGAAAAGACCTAGAATATACCATAGACATAGCTAAAAACTTATAAACACTGCCATCTACTGGTTGAAGAATATATCTCTACTGAGTACTGATGTAGTTGTTGCACAAAATACATGAACACTGTATTCCAACAGCTTTACAACCAAAAAATTCACTGTTGTCACCCATGTAGCCCCCACACAGAGGCACGGTGCAGACTAAAACATGGTAAGTCAGTAATGGGGGACAGATCAGCTGCAGAAAGACCACTCTAGTAATTTGCTCTCTACTTCCTTTTAATTGGGATGCTTCTCCAGTCCAGATCTTCTTTATATATGTGTGATAAAAATTTTCTATATCTTTTTGCTGCTTATTTTTTGAGAATGTGACCTGAAACTAAGGTTTCCACTTGACCAGTATTTTACTCGTCTGGCTATTAAAAATGGGGTGTGTCCCTAATGTTAGTCCCCAATTTTGGGGTGTGGCCAGCTTTATTGCTCATCTCACATGGCAATACTATATGGTGGCCCCAGTCCTTCCTCTCCTGACTTGTGCAGACTTCATTTGTGGTCAGTAGGGTTGTGGATTATTTGTTGCCTTGCCATTGCTTGTGACGGTGACCTGCAATGCACACCTGGGTCAGCACTCTTGACTCAGAGCAAAGTTTGGCCTAGGTGTCATTATATCATACCCTCTTAGGCCCCTCCCACTGTTAGCGTGGTCACAACCAACATTTAGTGTGGCGTGCTTTGCATTCTGTTATGTTCCCAACCCCCGCTCCACCCCCAATAAAAGCAATAGGATGTTACCTGGATTTCATTTTGAAAATCTAGTCAACTTACCATGAGGTCAGTGGTGTATGTTGGTTTTGTACTGCCCTAGGCAAGACTAAAAATGGGCACCCCCCCCACATCTAAATGTGTCCCACCCCTTCTTCTTTAAGGTACACCCCTTTGTCTGTAAAATTCACCCCTTCCTCTTTAGGCTCCACCTCTTCCTATTAGAGCTCCACCTACTGACAACAATGATGGGGCACTATTCTTTCCACTGACAAAAACGGTGGGACACTATTCCTCCACTGACACCAATGATGGGGCACTATTCCTTCCACTGACAACAATGGTGGGACACTATTCCTCCCACACAGTAGGTGGAATAGTGCCCCATCATTGGTGTCAGTGGAAGTAATAGTGCCCCATCATTGGTGTCAGTGGGAGGAATAGTACCCCATCATTGGGGTCAGTGGGAGGAATAGTGCCCCATCATTGGTGTCAGTGGGAGGAATAGTGCCCCATCATTGGTGTCAGTGGGAGTAATAGTGCCCCATCATTGGTGTCAGTGTGGGAGGAATAGTGCCCATTGTTGATGTCAGTGGAAAGATTAGTGACTGATCATTTGTGTCAGTGTGGGAGGAATAGTGTCCCATCATTGGTGTCAGTGTGGGAGGAATAGTGCCCCAACATTGGTGTCAGTGTGGGAGGAATAGTGCCCCATCATTGGTTTCAGTGTGGAAGGAATAGTACCCCCCCATCACTGGTGTCAGTGGGAGGAATAGTTCCCCCATTAGTGGTGTCAGTGGGAGGAATAGTGCCCCATCATTGGTGTCAGTGGGAGGAATAGTGCCCCATCATTGGTGTCAGGGGGAGGAATAGTGCCCCATCATTGGTGTCAGTGTGGGAGGAATAGTGCCCCATCATTAGTGTCAGTGTGGAAAGTAATAGTGCCCCATCATTGGTGTCAGTGGGAGGAATAGTGCCCCATCATTGGAGTCAGTGGGAGGGATAGTGCCCCATCATTGATGTCAGTGGGAGGAATAGTGCCCCATTATTGGTGTCAGTGGAAGGAATAGTGCCCCATCATTGGTGTCAATGTGGAAAAAATAGTGCCCCATTATTGGTGTCAGTGTGGGAGGAATAGTGCCCCATCATTGGTGTCAGTAGGAGGAATAGTACCCCATCATTGGTGTCAGTGGGAGGAAAAGTGCCCCATTATTGGTGTCAGTGGGTGGAATAGTGCTCCATCATTGGTGTCAGTGGGAGGAATAGTGCCCCTGTCAATCAGTGAACCACTAACAAGGACGCAGTCAGAAAGCACATTTAATTAGCCTTTAGGTTCACCTAAACCCAATCACTAAAGATTGATATAAACTTTAGGTTGGCCATACACTATACAATTTTATATACAATTTTCTGCCCAATTTCCTTTAGATTTACTTTCAACTACGTAGTGCAAGGGCCTGCCTAATTGTATACAATTGAAAGTGTTGTTCAGGTTTGACCTCCTATTATATGGTTTTTCGTAAAATCTAAAGGAAAATTAGACAAGATAATTGTATGATGTATGGCCAGCCTTAGCTTGACGCTAAAAACAATCCTATTCAAGTATGTATTAACTCAAAAAAGTGCCTTCTATTGGTAAAACTGTGGTAACCCAAATAGAAGAGGAAAAAAAAAATCTGAAGAATATATTAAAAAAAACATATTTTTAAAAATATATATATTTTTTAACCACCTTCCACCCGCCATATAGTAAAATGACGGGCGCAAGGTGGTTCTCTCATTCTGGGAGGACGTCATATGACGTCCTTCCATTCTCACCCGCGCATGTGCGGCTCAGGGAGCACGCAGCGCAGCATGTCCGAGGGACACAGCGGATCACCGATCCACGGAAAGAGCCGAAGATGTCGGCTCGGTCATGTGATCAGCTGTGTCCAATCACAGCTGATCACATGTAAACAGGGAAATGCCGGTTATCGGCTTTTATCTCCTCACGAGCTGTCACGCTGACAGAGGAGAGGAGAGCCAATAATCGGCATTCCACGGAGGGGACATGTACACAGATCATCAGGGCACTGATGATCAGTGTGCCCTGATGATCAGTGTAGCACCAGCAGTGCCACCTGTCAGTGCTCATCAGTGCCACGTGCCACGTGCCAGTGCCCATCAGTGCTGCATCAATGCCACATATCAGTGCCCATCTGAGCTGCCTTTCAGTGTCACCCATCAGTGCCAGTCAGTGCCACCTATCAGTACTGCCAATCAGTGCCACCTATCAGTTCCAGTCAGTGCCATCTATCAGTGCCCATCAGTGCCACCTAACAGTGCCAGTCAGTGCCACCTAACAGTGCCACCTATCAGTGCCATATATATCAGTGCTGCCTTTCAGTGCCCATCAGTGATGCCTGTCAATGCCCATCAGTTCCACCTACCAGTGCCTCCTCATCAGTGCCCATCAGTGCCACCTATCAGTATCTATCAGTGCAGCCCATCAGTACCCCATCATTGCAGCCTCATTAGCGCACATCAGTGAAGGAGAAAAATCACTTATTTACAAAATGTTATAACAAAAATTAAGAAATGTTTTTTTTCAAAATTTTCAGTGGTTTTTGGTTTGTTTAAGAAAAAAATAAAAATCCCAGAGGTGAGTAAATACCACCAAAATAAAGCTCAAAAAATGCTAAAAATTTCATATGGGTAGTGTTGCATGACCGCGCAATTCTCATTCAAAGCGTGACAGCACTGAAAGCTGGAAATTGGCCTGGGCAGGAAGGAGGTATAAGTGTCCTGTAGGCTTGTGGTTAAAATATATTCTTCAGATTTTTTTTAACATATAAAAAAAGTCATTTTAACATATATTTGTAAATGCATTCCAAATATTTGAAATGTATTTTTAAACATATTTGTCATATATTTTGTAATACAAATGCATTTCAACATACGGTATATATATATAAATATATTTTGAAATATACTGAATGTGGTCAAAATTGTAGCATTTCAAATATATGTAAATATATTTGGAAATAATATATTTAAAAATCTATTTCAAATATATTTTTCTTCCATATGGGAAATTATTATTATTATTTTTATACAAGATTTATATAGCGCCAACAGTTTACACAGCACTTTACAGTATAATAGCAAACCAAACAAAAACCGATTAGTTATGGACTCAACCAAGTCTTTGTCTAATAAAGGAACAGTAAAGGCAACAGTAACTCAAGTAACTCAAATAACCACTTGTTACAGCCAAGGTATGCAGAATATCATCTCTGAACTCACAACCTTGAAGCAGATGGACTACAGTAGCAGAAGACCACATCGGGTCCCATTGGGTGCCCTGAGAACAGTATGGAGGCTACAATTTACACAGGCTCACCAAAATTGGACAATAGAAGATTGAAGAAACATTGCCTGGTCTTGATTTCAGCTGTGACATTCAGATGGTAGGGTCAGAATTTGGAGTATACAACATGAAAGCATGGATCCATCCTGCCTTGTATCAACAGTTCAGGCTGGTGGTGGTGGTGTAATGGTGTGGGGGATATTTTCTTGGCACACTTTGGGCCTCTTAGTACCAATTGAGCATTGTTAGAACACCATGGCCTACCTGAGTATTGTTGCTGACCACGTCTATCCCTTTATGACTACAGTGTACCCATATTCTGGTGGCTACCAGGAGGATAATGCACCATGTCCAAGCTCAAATCATCTCAGACTGGTTTCTTGAACATGACAATGAGTTCACTGTACTCCAATGGCCTCCACAGTCACCAGATCTCAATCCAATAGAGCACCATTTGGATGTGGTGGAACGGGACATTCACATCTTGGATGTGCAGCTGACAAATCTGCAGCAAGTGCGTGATGCTATCAATATGAACCAAAATCTCTGAGGAATGTTTCCAACACCTTGTTGAATCTATGCCATGAAGAATTAAGGCAGTTCTGAATGCAAAAGGAGGTCCAACCCGGTATTAGCAAGGTGTACTTAATAAAGTGGCCAGTGAGTGTATAAATATATGCAGGTTCCCTTATATACAGTAAACAGTGCTGTGCTCCGGCATCAGTACAGAAACTTCCTATCCCATTTCAGGAACAAAACTGAGTAGGGCTGAGTGCTGTTCAGTCATTCACAGGAAACCTTGTATTTTTATGAATACAAGGCTTCTTCTGATTGGTTGAGGTGGAGATTGTGACATCAGCTGCCTGACTCTCTATCTGAGCCAATTACAGTGCCATGGCCTACCTGAGTATCGTTGCTGACCATGTCCATCCCTTTATGACTCCATCTTCTGATGGCTCCTTCCAGCAGGATAATGCACCATGTCACAAAGCTCAAATCATCTCAAACTGGTTTCTTGAACAGGACAGTGAGTTCACTGAACTCCAATGGCCTCCACAATCTCCGGATCTCAATCCAATAGAGCATCTTTGGGATGTGGTGGAATGGTGCTATCATGTCAATATGGACCAAAATCTCTGAGGAATGGTTCCATCACCTTGTTGAATCTATGCCATGAAGAATCAAGGCAGTTCTGAAGGCAAAAGGGGATCCAAACCGGTACTAGCAAGGTGTACCTAATAAAGTGGCCGGTGAGGGTATATGGCCACCAAAATGCTGACCACAGACTATGCATTGTACAATCTCCTTTACATCTACAATCTTCTATGCAGTGCGGGGGGCTGCCTTATTGTACAAAGATTGATTGCATCAATTGGGTTTGTCCTTCTATTACATCAGTGTGGATCTGCAGTAGAAAACCACCGATCACTGCAAGGGACCACAACTGTTTACTGTGTGCCCTGTTCACACATTGAGGAGCATTTGGGTGTGCTATGGTGCCGAAATCTGCAACATGTCTGCGTTTTCCATCCCACACCACAGCTCATCCGCACCTCCATTTCTCCCTGTGTTTCCCTGTGTTTCCACACACAGCATCTGAGCTGCAATACATAGACCTGAATGAAATGTCACATGGAATATTCCAATAAAGTAAAAAGCAAAAATAAACAGAGATCTACTCTTAAAAAGCATAAGGCACCACCAGCCACATGTGACACTTCCTGTGCAGTAACATGTGATGTTTTACTGTGCAGGAAATGTCAGCTCTGGCCACAAGGAGATTGTACAATCAGGTTGTATAGTGTGCAGTCAACCTAAAAGGTGGTTCCTGAAGAGCTGATGAAGCAGGGTAAGGGCTTGTTCACTCTTGCAGCCGAGGACAGTAAAAATAGACAGCTAAGCTGCAGTTTCACCACCCCCCTTAACCGCGGCTGTGATGTTTTATGGCCATGGGAGAAAACTATACAGTACAGTCGTGTTTGATGGGCAATACTGCCACCTAATCCAAACCATTTGAGTGAATGGGGCTGTATGTTTAACATGTTTAATGCATGATGCTGTGGGCTTTCAACAGGGGAAAACAGGCAATAAGGTCCATGTCCCTACACTAGCCAAAACTAGGGAGTAAATAAAAATCATATATATATATATATATATATATATATATATATATATATATATATGCGGGCGGCACAGGGGGTTAGTCGTTAGCACTTCTGCCTTGCAGTAATTGGGTCATGGATTCGATTCCCAACCATGGCACCTCCTGCATGGTGTTTGCATGTTCTCTCTGTGTTCCCGTGGGTTTCCTCCGGGTACTCCGGTTTTTCCTCCCACACTTCAAAGATATGCTGGTAGGTTAATTGGCTCCTCTCTAAATTGTCCTAGTTTCATCCCTGGCCATGCGGGATCTCCTGCATAGTAGGGGTTGGGGGAAAGACCTGGCAACCTACCCTGTAAAATAATTCATGGAAAAAGTTGCTTACGAGTCAGGGTCAGATACAACTGAATATATATATACATATATACTGTATATAAAATATACTAGATAGATAAATAAAATATACATGTAATGTACATATATTTTTATTAATTAGGTCCAATCCTTCCTAGGGGAAAATAAGTAAATGAAGAAATATATACTGTATATATATATATATATATATATATATATATATATATGCACCGTATTTTCCGACGTATAAGGCAACTGGGTGTATCATCACATGGATCAAATTCCAAATCAGATGGTTACCGCTGGATGTGCGGTAATACGGGTAGCTTCGGCTACATACAGTATACAGTATATATACAGCCCGTGGATGTGCAGTAATGTACATATAGTATACCGCGCTGAGCCAAGCTGGCTCAAAACAAATGTCCCTATGACAGATTAATCTGTCAACCCGCTGGATGTGCAATAATGTACATACAGTATACCGCGCTGAGACAAGCTGTTTCAAAACGTACCGGTACGTCCCTACGGTAATCAGACCGCTGGATGCGTGTATGTACAGTAGCTGAGGCTACATACAGTATATGCTGGGCCAATCATGGCGAGCAATGTATTCTAATGAATACAAAGCCTGTTCAGATTGGCTGAGGTTGTGACATCATCAGCCCACCTCTCTGACTCAGCCAATCCGAGCAGGCTTTGTATTCATTAGTAGAATACATCACTCGCCGTGATTGGCCCAGTGTATACTGTATGTAGCCTCAGCTACCGTATATACACACATCCAGCGGGCTGATTACAGTAGGGATGTACCGGTACGTTTTGAAACAGCTTGACTCAGTATATTGTATATACCGAGCCATCCAGCGGGGCTGACAGATTAATCTGTTTATAGGCACATTGTGTTTTTGAGCCAGCTTGGCTCAGCACAGTATACTGTATGTACAGTATTAACCACACATCCAGCCAGCTTGAGCCAAACAAACTCAAGGTTCACATTTTATACCCCGCGTATAAGACGACCCCCAATTTTTGGGGTATATTTTTAAATATAAAAAAGTAGTCTTATACGCCAGAAAAATACTGTATATATACTGTATAAATATATATATATATATATATACATACACTATATTACCAAAAGTATTGGGACAACCCTCTAAATCATTGGATTCATGTGTTCCAATCACCTTCAATGGCCACAGATGTATAAAATCAAGCACCTAGGCATGCAGACTACTTCTACAAACATTTGTGAAAGAATGGATCACTCTCAGGAGCTCAGTGAATTTAAGCGTGGTACCAGTTATTGCCATCTGTGCATATAAGTCCATCTGTTTAATTTCCCTGCTACTAAATACTCCACAGTCAACTATTAGTGGTCTTATAACAAAGTGGAAGCACCTGGGAACAACAACAACAGCGGGCCAAGTAAAATGACAGAGCGTGGTCAGCGCATGCTGAAGCGCACAGTGCACAGAGTCGCCAACTGTCTGCAGAGTTAATAGTTAAAGATATCCAAAAACTTCATGTGGCCTTCAGATTAGCACAACAACAGTGCACAGAGAGCTTCGTGGAATGGGTTTCCATGGCCGAGCAGCTACATCCAAGCCTTACATTATCAAGTGCAAATGCAAAGCGTCGGATGCAGTGGCGTAAAGTACAACCGCCACTAGACTCTAGAGGCAGTGGAGACGTGTTTCTCCGAAGTGATGTAATCATGCTTCTCTGTCTGGCAATCTAATGGATGTGTCTGGGTTTTTGCGGTTGTTAGGAGAACGTGGTACTTGCCTGACTGCATTGTGCCAAGTGTTAAAGTTTGGTGG